CCCCGTAGGATTATGCGATTGTGCGGCCGCGTTTTTTCGCGTAATTCTGCAACACTTGCATAATTTTGAATTATCCGCGTTTTTCACGTTTTTTTCCCCTTTTTTTCCCAAAACAATTAATTAACACCTCGCCTTGTGACTAAAGGGACGTAATCACAGTAATGAGTTTCATTTAAGTGAAAAGCTGGTTATTTCCCTTGTTAGAAGATCTTGGTTATGGGTTGTGATTTTGTTCCTTGAGCATGTTCAATTTTTCAATCCATCAAAAGTTGTTGTTCTCATGTCTGCTGATGTTTCATGTTTGACAGGTGTCCCTGGCTTTAGTAAAGTGCCAGCATCAGAGGTCCAGATGTCCTTTTTTTAAATGAAAAAAAAACATTTTTCTTGCCTCTATAGATCTAGATCTACAGCTGAAAGTTACAGACAGATTTTTTTTTTTTTTTTAATTTTTTTTTTGGGGGGGGGGAGGGGGTTACTGATGGGTATTGTTTTCTTTTCCAAATACACAAAAAATTACTGATACTGATATGTTCTGTTTCAATTTTTCTGTACATAAAACATGAAAATCATGAAACTTTGTGTTGAAAAAGTGCAAAACATGTCGCGAATGGTATTACGCTAACTTGCATAATTTTTGCATAATTTTGCTTTTTTGTGCATAATTTGGCCTTCTAAATTACATAATTCTACTGGGACAGATTATGTTTAGCTAAAGCGCGTGGACTCTGGCATGGCATAGTAGATGTTTTACAGCGCTATAGACACAGAAATGACAGTTATGGCGCCAGTGAGGACCTTGTTTTTGATATAATATTTGGCTAGTGTTTGTTTCTGGCTTCTTTTATTTTATCATTGTGGGTGTTTTACATAATAGAACATCCAAACATTTTGGGCGGCACTGCACGACCGTGCTCTATGGACGAACCGCGCCATATATATATATATATATATATATATATATATATATATATATATATATATATATATATATATGCAACATGAAAATATAAATAGTTTTGAAAGTATTACAATCTTTTTAGTGGCAATAAATGTACCACGATTAAAAACACGAAAATTTACTAACCAGTGCGTCTATTTATCTATCTATATATATATAAATTTACATGTGTATGATTTGTGTCCTTCGGTTTTTATGTTGAGCAAATTTGCCGGTGACTTTCTGATTGAATGATTGAACGGTCCATCCTTCTTGATGAACCATTCATGATTTAAAGTAGATCTATGCGCTCTTTTACTTCCCTCCCCCAGCAACATGCTAAATTCCACAGTTTGATGTTGTTCCAGTCTCTTGATAGTGAGCTTATCTTCATGTAATAAAGAACTAAAGCGAATTTCCAATAAGTTTTCTACATGATACATTGCTACTTGGAAGAGCAAACTTAAGATTCCAATCTAAAACGACCGCAACCCCCTGATACAATACAAAGGAGCTTGCTTAATTTTCCATCTGATCTCTACACACAGAACACAGGAGCACACAGGAGCACACAGGAGCACACAGTACACAGTTAACACGCTCAAAACTCAAAACTTTAGTCAGGTGCAGGCCCTACACCTACACATTACAAAACACGGGGCTCAAGGGACAAACCAATGAAATTCCATTCTCCATGACGGAGGAAGCGCCTGATTGGATGGAGCTACCGTCGTACTAATTAGTAGTGATAGCCTAGTAACAGACCAATCAAACCCACAGAATTCTAAGTGTAGAATTCTGTGATCAAACCACAAGTTATTGTGGAGTTTCGCCTTTTATCTAAATACATTATTATGTATATGGTGGGGTTCCTTTAAAGTTTCTCCAGGCAATTTCAAAATGTAATAATTCCAATTTGTGTTTCAATATTGTCCAAGGTCAATTCGCTGGCGGCGCGGTACAGCGGGGGTAAATTTACAGTTGTTTTATAAGGACCGAATGACTGAGGCAGGTGGTAGATAGCGGCTGGGGTGTAAATAACCAAATGATATGTTTATAGGGGATTGTTTTCGCACATTGACAACCTGGCTGTAAGCTGGTCTGGCGGTGACCGGGGGGGGGGGGGTAAACGAGGTTTGACTGTACTATGTAAATTGTGCTCATTCTGTTAGCTCTGCTTCCAGTTATTGTACGATAAAGTCTTTACTATATCTTCTAAACAAGGGGCTTAAAACAGATGGAGCCTCCTCTCTCTTCACGGCGCCACAAGCAGCACGCCGAGGCGGGGAGTAAATATGGCCGCCGATATGGTCTAAACTGACGGACTGCGGTGTTTCTTTTTATAGAATCTTATAGGGCTGGGCCACGTTGTGGGGGTGGGCGGGGTGGGGGAATGCATGCAAGGAAGAGGGGATGGGGCTGGTATGAAAGAGGTGGAGCGGGCCTCGGGAAAGTACGAAAGAGAATGGGAAAAATTAAATAAAAGAGAGAGAGAGCGAGAGAGAAAGAGAGAGAGAGAGAGAGAGAGAGAGAGAGAGAAAGAGAGAGAGAGAGATATTATGATCAACTGACGGGATGACGGATAGAATGACAGGGAGACAAAACAATATTAAATTCTGTGTGTGATACGGACTGTTCAATTATTTAAAAGTTTTATGTTATATAGCAAGTTTAAAAATTAAGAAGATCGGCTAAATAAGAAGAAATCTTATCCAAGTAACATAAAATTATCAAACATACCAAATTATGAAGATAATCTTTCAAGACAAGACAATCCCTGACAAGACGCTAAAAGATTTAATTATAATAAGAAATTGTCAAAAATGTATTTTTTAAACTGATTTTAAGATATGACTGCATGATTCTAGGCGTGTGCCATAACTAGCTTTATGTGTAAGGAAAGCGAACACAAAAGAGGGTCAATGCCAGCTTTATCTGATTGTTAACAGTATTATGTCTTGGTCTAGATCAAGGAGTTTAGAACTAAACTGTAAACTCCTTGGCCTAGATCTATAAATAATAATAGGCCTATTGTTGATTACAATAATTTTGTTTCCTGTTTTTCACAAAGTGGAGAGCACAATAGTTTCAAATATAAAAAAGAGAGATAACAGCACATTTGGACTTTTTGAATGAGATCAAAACTTAGTATTATTGATGCAGGAATAGTACAGTCTTTGTTAGCGTTCCTCTGTTCTTATTAATGAAGCGATCACTCAGCAGCCGTTCATGGTGATGGGCAGTCATGTTGACATATTCTTCTTCTACATGCCTCCCTGATAATTTGAAGGACACGTGTATGAGGCGGCCTTGTTGGCCCTACCTAACGAATCATGCCTTGGCTGTAAGTGTAAGCTTAGGCTCTTATTGCAAGTTCGATGTTCGGCAAAATCAAAGGCGTCGATGAGGAGTTCGCACCTGGGCCGTGATCCCCTCTGTCGTAAAATCCTTGAGTCTGGAACAAACTTGTACCTCGCATCGAGATTTAGAGCAAAGATGTGATCCCATGCATGAGCGTGGATGACCTTTGAAGGTTGCTTTTTTCTTCTTTTTTTCCAGTAAAGTACGATAGGGAAAGCAGCGTTTTTAGTTCCTTCACATTTCAGAGGGGGATAATTTATCCAAGGGGTAACTTGTGTAGTAAAATTTGTTGTTACTTTGTTTGGTTTATTTTTAACAGCGGAATCTCAAGTGAAGTGGAATTATGAATTGTGGGATCTTAGATAAAGACTACAACAATAGCTTTAAACCGAGTATAGTTCTATCAAACAAGACTCAAACTCTCATCCATCCACCCTACCCCTCCCCTCATCTGATATGGTTTGGTGTTTCTTTAACATAGAAGATATTCATCTTAATGTTGTTGGGTATTGATTTCATATTTTAATGGAACCACTCGATATCTACATTTAGACAACATGAGTACCGGTAGTCTTATAGTAATCAGGAGATGAATGAAACATAAAACAAGTCGGACCGAGTGATTGAACTCAATACGCTTAGGTGTGTATGATTAGTAAAAACATGTAGAAACCTTGACGCTAGATTTTTCCGTCAAAATAAAGGTCTACTGCGCATAGCATAGCATAGCATAGCATAGCATCTAATTTGCACACACAATGTAAAGCAATATGTTTAATTGAAATGTATAATATGTATATACATGTATATATTTATATATAGAATATATATATATATATATATATATATATATATATATATATATATATATATATATATATATATATATATATACACACACACACACACACACGCACACACACACACACACAAACACAAACACACACATAAGAAAATAAGAATATTTTTAAAAAATCAAGTACCTCGGTCTTTCTGCTGGGGTGTTGTTAAAGAATATACATGTATATCCCTTTCAGCCCGGGTTGGCATTGGCAGGTAGCGCCGGAGCCAGCCTCTTATAAATGTTAATGATCTAAATTGTGTCGCTTGGGGCTTAAAAACACTTTTCATTCTGATTTTTAAAAAAGGAAAACAACACCTGTGAAAACTTTTGTCCATTGCAGCATCACATCGGTTTTTACACTTAAACACAACACAGGTGGAAGGCATTTTCTTTTACTGACTACAAGGACCTCGGAATAAAACCTTCTTATTGTCTACATTTCAGTGCGTGAGTCGGGCAGTCGTGCAGGGCGGGTAGACCATAGTCCCGCTGCGAGAGAGGGCTCCTATCAGGCGTGCGGTGTCGCCCACAGAGCATCCTCCATTACTTTTAATCTCCTTGCTTCTAAATCAACTTTGGACGTCTAAATTTGTTACAACATTTTCTTGGGGGTTTCTAAAAGGAAAGGCCCAATGAATTTTAAAAACATGTCGCCTCCCCCTTTAAAAAAAAGCACACTAATATAATATTGGCCCTATATAATTTTGCACTTCGCGACTGCTAAGGCCTATGTGTTTCTCCCACCCGTCATTTATTTCTTTTTCAGTGGGCTATTGAAAGCTGCATCGATAGTTACCAAAATGTGTGTTTGCCCTCTATATATTTCTGTCTAGGCTAAAAAGCTGGGGGGGGTTCTTTCTGTCTAAGATTGTTTCATGTTCGTCACAGAGTTGGACGGTTGGCCCCACGGCCTAGACCTAGAAAAAAAATTTATGATGACCCAACTCCCATCCAATCCACCAATACCTCGATCTTGGTCCCAAAATAAACAGTACATTTCCGCCAGCCTGGCCTGAGATGGCCTGTGATTGTGGTGAATTTGGGCTGGAGTATTCATGTGTTTGACCCTGTTTTATCACTATTCAATAATTTGTGTTCAAGGATTACTTTAAGGTGAGTTTAATCATATTACTGATACAATCCAAGGCATTAACAGTATGTGAAAGGTGTTTTTAAAAGGCAAAATTTGTAGCAGAAAAGTGGAAGTTCGTAGGCCTACGGACGAGATCTAGACCTAGCTGGCCTTGACCTTCTGTTGTTTGTGCTTTCTCGCTTTCGTCTTCACTGTTCTCAAATTTTTTTTAGAAACTTCCATTACGTTTTTGAACTTACATCTAGATTCTAATCTAGATCTAGATCTAGATCTAGATTTAGTTCTAGTATTAGATTATATACTAGATCTAGATCTAGATCTAGATCTAGCAAATGTGCGTCCCTTTCTTTTTTACTGGATGAACACACCCTCCCAGTCCAATGCCGATGCCTTTTAGAAGCATTTTGTGCTAAACTTAAACACACACACACCCTCTGCGTTCGACGATCATTATGAAAGGAAATTCGGCCACGATTATTGAAAGGCTGCCCTCTCAATCTCATGGATTTTCACTCCCTTTCTGTATTTATTTGTTTGTAGATCTAGAATCTAGTCGTTCTTATTGTTTGCAAGATCTATTTTAATAGGCGGCTTATATATACTTTAATGTTAAATTCTTCAATTGAGGACTTCCAATCTAGATATAATCTAGATCTAGATCTAGATCTAGATCTAAAAATCTAGATCTAGATCTAATCTAGATCTAGATCTAGATCTATATTATTATACTCATCAATGGCTTTCAAAATCATGATAGAAGACCAACAACCAATGTTATACCATCTGTCCATGACAAAATTACGGTAGTTTGCGCATTGGAAGTGGCTATTCTCACCCGGGGTGAGAATAAAAATACGATCTACCTCTCACCCCGGGTGAGACTTGCCAGCGTAGGCTATTCTCACCCGGTGTGAAACCAAACCTGTTTTTCCTCATTTTGGAATACTGTCTATCGGTGTGGATGATCAAATTGATAAAAGCCAAGAAAAAATTAGGTTTTATAGCACAAAAGTAAGCTAATTTGATCGTCTTCAAAGATGCTATGGCTATTTCACTTTTCGAATCGAGCCGAACTGTGTACGCATGTCACCATTTTGTTTTGCCCGGAAGTTCTCGCAAGATCTACTCCTCCCCTCTCTCTCTCTCTCTCTGAATACTGTATCGGTGTGGACGATCAAATTGACCAAAACAAAGTTTAAAAATGATGTTAAAAAACAAAACAAAATTAATTTGGTTGTCTTCAAATACAAAGATGCTACGGCTATTTAACTTTCCGAATCGAGCCGAACTACGCGGGTCGCCATTTTGTTTTGCCCGGAAGTTCTCGCGCTACTCCTCTCTCTCTTTCTCTCTCTCTCTCTCTTTCTCTTTCTCTCTCTCCACTGCCCACAGACAAAATTACATGCTTTTAGTAGTAATAGATCTAGAACGTTTGTTCATAGCACAGAATTCTATAATTCTGTTATCACAGTGTAGAATTATGTGGTTCAGGGTGAACGCTTCACTGGTTGGCACGGTGAACGCCCACCGGGTGAGAATAGCCAAAAGACTCGCCTGCGCTATTCTCACCTGGGGTGAGAATAGAGGTGGCCGAAATTTTAAGGCCCAGTTCAAAGTTTTGAAGATCTCAGTCAGGGATTAGTAGTAGACTTTGGGAATTTAACGTGCTAAAGTATTATAAGATCACCCAAGAGAGTCTAGATCTCTAGATCTATCTAGATGAAGACCGTCGGTGAATCCTATTTAATTTATAACCCAAAACAATGTGGGTCTCCATTTCTGGTCCTTGTTCATCAGTGTCTGTTTGTAGGCCTACTGTTCACTTTTAGAATTTCATGTTATGAGTTAGAATAGGCCTACTGACTGTATTTGTGTGTATATATATGTCAAGCGCCATTTGCCGATCAACGCGATCTTAAGATGGCGCAGAACCATATGAAGATCCGCAGAAAGCGCGGCCATCTCGAGATGGGTGCGCCATCTACGGATTATTTCCGAAAATGAATAGAGCTTCGCGATCTTACTAAGATTGTGCAAAGCAAGCAAGAATAGCGCCATCTGTCGATCGCTTGGAAATACACACAAACACATACACAACATATTAAATATACACACATAGAGGCGAGAGTGGCAAAGAAAGAGAGAGAGGGAGAGAGAGAGAGAGGTTTTTGTATACACCCAAGATAGATAAAAAAGTAACTTCACACCACACAAAAGTAAGAGAAAGGCTGTATGGGCAAGTCCTCTTGCGTCCTCTTGAACCTTTAAAAATTTTTTTTGAAATTAATGATGATAATAAATTCTGCGGAGTTTTGTTTGTGAACTTTGCAAAATCGTTTGTTTGTGTGTGATGGCGCGTCGCACCCATATTGAGATGGCCGCGCTTTCTGCGGTTCGTCATATGGTTCTGCGCCATCTTAAGATCACACTGATTGGCAAATGGCGCTTGACATTCACAAGTGTACAAGACCTAATTTTGATTAGAGAAGAGTATCTAGAGAGCTATGGCTAAGAAAGTATTGAGGGAGAATTGTTTGTGATTTACTTTTAGATCACTTAAAATGGAACAGGGAGAAACATTCTGGGTAGCCCATGCTTATAAAATTCACAGTCCCCCCCCCCCCTGAATGCAGTTTGCAGGCGCTGTTGAGGCTACATTCATGCACCAAGGCTAGTCCCACACCGGCGCCGGGCCCGACGAGCGGGCTGGACTTTTTTCTGATACAAAAGAATGAACGCCGGCAGTTCTACTGTAACGACAGGTAATAAAAAACGGCCGCCCGCCCGCACCAAACCTGACATCCCGGACCAGACTTGTTCAATCCACACCGTCCGTGGGGCGAAAGGGGGTAATTTTCGTTGACCTTGCCTTTATAAATTCTTTCCCCTTTCCCGCCACGGTCTGTTGGTTTTTGTTTTAAGAGTGTTTTACGGCGCTCGCCGCGACGAAAGCAGACGACAGAACAGGAAAGGAGGTAAAAGGAGAAAATTTGGAAAAAGGAAATTTTCTGTCCCTGTCAAGTTTCGAGCCCAGGACCTATTGAATGAGAGGCAAGAAGCTTTTGCACCCCGTCCCCCCACGTTTCCTAACCACAACAAGGACAACAACTTTCTCCTCTACACTCCCTTTTTTTACTAGTATTAAACTGATGTTGTCTTACCGTTGGGTACTGGTGGCGGTATGGGCGCCACAGCCCGCAAAAAGTGGTTGTGTTGGGTCTGATCGTGGGGCCTGACGCCGGTGTGGGTCTTGCCTAAAGATTCGTTTAAAGGGAGCGTCCACTGCCGGTTTAAGTCAGCCGTTTTAGTTACTGACGTATTTTTAATATTTTGGCCAGCTTCAAGTGTTCCATCCCATGAGATGAAGGAAAACGAAGCGCCCTTACCGAATTAAAGTCGGGATGGATATAATGGAAAATTGGGGATGTGGTATGGTCAACAAGAGGTGAGAGATGGGAAACAGAAGGTGGGATTCGGAAGATGGGACTGGTCATAAGATGTGTACAATAATGACTGTATTGCACCGGGTCAGACCGGGAATTGATGCAGAGAGAAAATGACGGGAATCAATCGTAACTGTCTCTCCTCTTTCTCTAAAAACTTTCCTCTCTTTCTCTCCACCCCCCTCTTTCTCCCTCTATTTTTCTCTGTCTGTCTCTCCCTCCCTCCCTCTTTCTCTTCCCCTCCCCTCTTTCCTCTCTCACACACACACACACACACACACACACACACGCGCACACACACACACACACTGCCTGCAGGCAGACAAAATTGCACACTTTCAACTTGAGAACGCTTGCACGTTTGTTTACACGTAACACTTGTATACCACGGGCTGTCACGTGCTAACACAAGGTCGCACCCAAGTGAGCGCAAGTCTCGCCCGGACGCGAGATAGATATCTGGGGCAATTGAAACATCTTGGTAGGCGTGTGTACATTTTCGTCATACTCTATATCCTTGCGTTGTTGCGTAATTGAGAGTTCGTCGTTTTCCCTTACACAGTAATTGAAAACGACGAATGGTCGATCGGTCAAGGATCATTGCTTCGTTTTTCTTCATTCCTAGAGATGGAACGCTTGAAGCAGGCCAAAATATCAAATACGTCACTGACTAAAACCGGCTTTCTTAAACCGGCAGTGGACGCTCTTTAATGCCATGAACGTAGCCTCAACAGCGCCTGCAACTGCATTCACAGCGCCGTGAACGTAGCCACTGCGTTAAAAATTTAGGCCTAGATAGATCTAGCCTATTTAACCTAGCAAGTGGCTTTTCTCCGGCTTCGTGCCCGACTATAGATCGATGGCTATTCTCCGGTGTCAGGTATAGTTGCATACATGTTGCTTCTCTACTGCTTTCCATATGACCTCCCCTGTCGGCTCGCTTTATGGCCTCACACTTAGGGGTCGGCATTTCTTTAGGATGTGATTCACCATAGATGGACATCATACAGCCACTACTCAATGAAAGCTCCAGTGACGGAATGTGGAATTTCTGTGTCAGAGGTGGCAGCACCAGGAGCACCAACAACTCTCAGTCACAACCAGAAGTACGAGAAGGCGCATCTGGCACTGAACTCAGTTGCAACAATAATGGCCATAACGTGCTGACAGGGGAGATGGAAAACTGTGGAGAAGCGACGTGTGCAACTATAGGTGATGCCGGAGAATAGCCATCGGTCTATTGAACGGCGCGACACCGAAGACTAGCATCTTGCTTTAGCCTAATGATACAGCTCTAGATTCTGATAGTTTGCAGGGTAGGCTATAATACTTTAGAATTCAAAGCTATGAAGTCATTTTGTTGGAAGTCAACAAAACCTCTTCCTCAAGCATCCTCTTGATTTCAGAACCATTTTATTTTCTACCTTTTGCTTCGCCTCTTCTTCGAAATTTAAGTATTTCGGACTCAGGTCAGATTCATGTTCTGGGGTTCAGACAATAGAGAAAATGTTACCAAACAACCCTGTTCATGAATTTGATTTCCCTTCCCTTGGTATCATGTGTTTATTCCTTTCAGA